TCTAGCTATATAATTTATGGTACCCAGGTTTTTATATAGGTACTAAAGAGTTTTTATAGAATATAGACTTCTTGAGCAATCTAAAAAGCAAAATGAATATTTTAGTACCCAGGGTACCGAAAAAGTGTGCCAGAACTCCCCTTTTTGCCCTACTGGGTTATTTCCTCGTAGTGGCAAAATAAGGGTATTATTCTTCATTTTTATATGTCATGACAGGCTTTACGACTTATAATCACTACTTTGGTCAATAAAAAAAATCGAGTTTCTAGCAATGCTTGTTATTTCTCTGGTAATGCTTGTTATTTCCCCAGACTTCTGGGAAAATAACAAGCATTACCGGGGAAATAATAAACATTGCTAGAAACTAGGTGTTTTTTACTGATTACAGCAGTTTTTAAAAATGTGTGAACAGTGATTTCTATATACCTGTGTTGGAAATCAAAGAATTTGGAAATTTAGATTAATAAAAATTAAATATCCGATTAGAGCAGGTTTTGAAAACTCCAGAATTTTGGGAAATATTTTGAATTCCCCATGATATAGTGATCTGCGATCGTTCACACTTTTTTGAAAACAGCTGTAAAGTAGTTGTAAATTCCCATTATGCGATCATATAGAAATGTGGAATAAGTACTATTTATTTCCCACAATGGCAGGAATAAGAGGTAAATTCCTGGCCATCTAGAGGCCCGAAGAGCCTCCAGATCTACCGGGTTATTTCCCCGTAGCGGCGAAATAAAGGTCATTTTTATATGTCATGATGGGCTTTACGGTTTATGATCACTATTTTGGTCAATAAAAAAAATTAAGTTTTCTAGCAATGCTTGTTATTTCCCTGGAAGTCCGGGGAAATAACAAGCGTTATCAGAGAAATAACAAGCATTACTAGAAATTAGGTTTTTTTTACTGATTAAAGTAGTGATTATAAGTTGTAAATCTCCGTCATGCGATCATGTAGAAACGTGGAATAATATCCCTTAAACCATCAATTTAATCTAATTATACTATGGTATAATATAATTTTGTAGTTTAATCACAGATTAATCATTGAAATTTGCAAACAAATTTGCTTGTAAAATAGTTTAAGAGACAATAATCTTATTAATTGTTGTGATTAAAGCTGGAAATTTGGAAATTCGACCAAAATCCACTTATACTCTTTGTTATAAAAACTAGCCTTAAATCCCAATCTAACTATAAGAAAAAGGCTAAAAAAATACATACAAAAAATTCTAAAATGTCCAGCTTTAGCCGCAACATTAATTATATAATTAAGATATTAGAGATTAGAATCATTTAAAAATTTTTTAATTGTTCAACTGTTAACTGTTTAATCCAATCAGTGTTGATAATTTTTTGGCCAGTAATATAGTTCAATGCGATCAATTTTCATGCGATTGAACGGTTCCAGTCCTTATTGGATATATTTAAACTAAGTTGAAAAAAAGAAAAAAAAACTTGAATATCAAAATATATAGCACTAACCAGTATGAGGATAATCAAATTTTTGAATTGTAAGAAGTGCTTGATATAAAGTAAATTCAGGACTAATCCAATGTATTGTTACGGCAATATAAGGTTGATGCATTTGTGATCACAGGTCTGTTGTAAAGCAAAAAGAGTCCATTGTCGTTTCCAATAGACTTTTGAGCTGTTGTTCGGCATAGAGTACTAACTGCATTAATTTTTCTTTTAGTTTATCTTTGCAAGAAAATTCAAATCTCGGTTCACATTCAAGAATCATATCTCGGAAAGATTCATTTGCAATGGCATAAAATGGTTGTAAGTCATCTACGATCCAAGCTAAAATACGATTGGTAATTTTATTTTGTTTTAAAGAAGGCAAAAGCACTTTTTTATTTATAAAGTCATGTAAGGATTGTTGGTTTGAAACTATTTGTGTTAATTTGTTGTTATTTTTCTCAGGAGGTAAAATTATATGAATTTGGCGTAGGTGAGATTTTAGATTTCCTGTTCCAGTTGATAATTCATAGTCATGATTGCATTTTACTTCAATACTATTTTCATTTTGTACTTTAACTAAACAATAGGCCTTTTTCTCGAGTTTATTTTTCTTAAAATAGTCCCACACCCAACTTTTTTGCGATCTCGATCTTTTAGTACGGGTAAAAGCTTTTTGTTTTATAATCTGTTTACCTAAACTATTAGTTACTGTAACGCCACTATTATGCGATATAGATTGATTAGGCAGTATCCAAACTATGTAAATTTTCTGATACATCGGATGCATCAGATGCAATTGATTCATCTAATCCAATTTCATTTTCATTAGAAAAGGTTATCGTATTGCTATCAAAAGAACTAGACTAATGTGGATCGTGTGTTGTCATTTGAGATGCCAAATACTTAAAGAAATGGGTATTTTATTATTGCAGACTGAAGAATAGTTAGATTATCTTAAGGCTCATCTTTTTATTTTATTTATTTATTTATTTTTTATTGATATTGCACTACATATCATATTATTTAATCTTTTTTTTTTTTTTTTAAATCAGTACTCAATTGTCTAATTTTTCTTTAAATAATTAATATCGTTCTTTCAATATAGAAAATGACTTTTAGAATGTGAAAAAGAACTTGATCGCATGGTATCAAAACTTAAGAACAATAGCAATCATTAGGCACATATGTGTATGTACGTATGTACACATACACATATGCATGTACGCCTCGTGAGGTTAGTATTAGATGCCATGGATAGTGAAATTTACAAGGTACTTAAGGAATACAAGGATTTGGCTTTCATCTATTGTCATTGTTCACGATTTGATATTGTTATTGACACCAATTTTAGCCATATAGTTTCTTTTGATAGAGTCCATTATCTTGTTATTGAAATTTTGATTTTACTATACAGCGCTGCATCCAGTACCCCTTAGAGTTGCCTGCCGTAATTGTTTTTAACAGGTTGTAATATTGCAACCTATATGTCGTAATATTACAACTCATATATTGTAATAGTTGGAATTAATTACAGCAGGCAACTCTAGTACTCCTGGTCTTTTCAAAATGGCAAAATAAATTATATTTGGGGCACTCTGAAGATGGTATTGATCATGTGAGTTGATCATATAACAAGATCATTAATTTGAATCACGAATATAATAAATTATTACTTGAATAGTACCGGGATACTTTTCAAAAATGTTAGAATTTACAATTGAATAGTATCACGATACTACTTAAAGGGGATACTTTTCAGAGAGGTATTATTGTATGCAGCGCTGTACAGTTAAATAGGTTCTGATACATTTTACTGAATACATTTTTTTGCATCTTATTTTTTATTTACAATATACAGAGGGGTCTTTTATTCGTGAATAAGCATTATAAAAAGTCAATTGTATTTGATATTCAATTATAATGCTAGTGGTTTGATTTTGTATAATCGTGTATATCTTTCCTTTATTTGAATAGCTTTGACAATAGTTACTCTAATTTTGTAGATTAGATTGGCCATTGTATACAGCACCTGAAGAATTTCATTTTTAAATTGAATAATCCCAATATTATTACCAAATTCAGTGATTTCATTTGTGTAAAAGAAGGATACTTATGTGGCAAGATTTTCAGGGGTATTATATGTAGTGCCTAATTGTAATAGAGAAGTCGAAACTACTAGGAGCTTTTTGTGAATCTTTGAATATGTAAAATCGTAAGCCAAACTGGGAAAATGCTATTGATACAAAAATATTTAGTGGCGATCTAGCAGGCCTCATGAATGCAGATAATATTGGCAAAATTCTATTATAAACAAGATCAGCGCAAACAACGTCTTTTTAACAATTGAAGCTCTTACAATTATAAAGTTTAAGTTAATCTAACTTTTGACAAACATGATTCAAATACCAAAGCAATTGGTTTGTTTATTGATATTTTATTTATTCATTTATGTTTTTTTTTCATATGTAAATTTGATTTTTTTAAGCAATAAAAAAAAGTCAAATTTAAAAATGATAATGATGGTTGGAAAAAATATGAAATAGCTATAATCAAAATATCATAAATAACAGGGTAAATGATCCTGCAGTAGTAGACTTCTATGTACAATACCCTGGTGTAAATTGCAGAATATACAATGACCAAATGCAATTTGTTTCAATTAGGCTATATAAAGTTAATTAATTGTTTCTCATAACTCGGCAGGTCAGCTTTTGTAAATCCTCGATACAAAATTTTATAAGTTATTTACTATAAATACTTTTGGGTGGTTTTTTTAAAAATTTTTATACATTTTAAATTTTTTAGACAAAGAAAACTTATAAAATTTTTGCGATTTAAAAATTAAAAGTCGGGCAGGCAGGTCACTTTTAGAATTTTATATTATGAGAAACAATTATTTAATTTTGTATAGCTTTATATATACTACCTATTAGAAATGTACTATATTTGGCTCTTTTAGCCAGTTATTTCTAGTAATGAAACTTTAAATCCTCTTTTTAAAATCATTAACTATCGAATGTGCACATAGTATTGAAGACTGGTTAGCAAAGATAAAATCTGCAAATCAATTCCTAACCGAGTTTGGCATCAAAAAAAATTTATTTCACTTGATAATATAGTTCTAGTTACTTAGATAACTTTTTTTTTAAGCTTATTTTTGAGTAAAACATGTTCGAGCGACTGGCTATATCGATATGATTATTTGGTGTTATGTAATAACTACAGAGTGAAAATCATATTGTGTACATATAAGTATTTCAACTGTTTTTTTAATTAATTAGTATAGATAGATATTAAAAACCGGTTAATTAAATATTATATATATAATAATAATAATAAAATTATATTAGCCATTACCAGCCATTTAGCCGATATTTTGATCGGCTGGCTTAGCCAGCCGATCAAAACTATTCGGCTTACAACACTACACAGCCTTATGTGGTATTTCTTTCTGTAACACCATGTCACATGTAGTGCCCAGTTTTCTCTATGGCTCGGGACTCCTTCCAAGAATTCTTTATAGGCCAAATAAGTACTTCGCATAGTCTTATCGTTACAGGGTTTCGCATTTGAAAGCTCCCATAGGTTACAGAGATAATTAATTAAATTAATTACCACCAGCTATAATTGAACCGTTGACCTCATCTGTGGAGGATTAGGCACCTAGACCACTAGGCTATGGGATCCTAACCTCCTATATAAATTGATAAATTACATGATTTTAATATTTAGCTGGCTAAGCTGGCTTAGCCAATTAGGCTTAGTCAGTCGATGAATTTGGCCCGACTAATATCTCTATAATTTGTGCTCTACATATGTCTTTAATAAAATGTCTACTATAGTATTCGATGAAGTACTTTTTCCATGTAAGGATAGGATATGAGTTGTAGATGTTGTTGTGAGCTAAAAGAAAAGTGTATGTTTGAGAACGCTGCTTAGCAATTGAGTCTACCAGATTGTTAAATTTGTTATTGGAGTGTGCTATAACTTTGTATAGCTGAAGTTGGATTTTGTAAGATTTAATAAAGCCAAGGATTGTTTGCCATATAGACCAGTAGTTGTATTTGGTATATTTGGACATATAGCTAGGGGTTTGTAATAGGCTGTTATATTTATCTATAACTAATTGAGAGTCTGTATAGATATCTACTATAGTATTTCATGGAGCTATTACTATTGCTAATAAAATTGCCATGAGTTCTGCCTTGTATGAGGAGGGCCAGCTTTGAATTTCTGCTAAAAATTCTTGTACAGGTTGGTCATTTTGAACTTGGACCCAACCTATGCCTATTAAGCATTGGTCTGTACTTATACTCATTACTGATCTGTCTATATAGAAAGTGAGTGTGCTATAGGAGCAATTGTTTAGTGTAATTTGAATAAGCTTTTGGGAAGCTTCACTGTTTTGGAAAATATAGTTAGTAGATAGGTCTAGAATTATAACTGTAGGGAATGAAGGCAGATGGAGAGGGTGCTTAATAGCTGTGGAATAGATAAGTTCTATATAGTTGGCATTGAGTTTGAGATATTTGCCTGCTATTTTCCTGTCTAAGAACTGGGTAGACAGGATAGAAAAAACCTCAAAGGTATAGTGATTTGGGATTTGATTAATGTTAAGATTGTATCCTGGGTATAGTAAACAGTAATAGGTAAAAGTGGATATTCTTCTTTTTGAGCTGTGTCAATATTATGCACTCAGTGAGTAATAGATATAGAGTTGGTGCTGGGAAATTTCCTCTATATCTGACCAATAATAATATTGCTTTGCTAATAGATAAGTAGCTAAGGTTTGTATGCCTTGTTTATAAGATTGGTGTGGTAAGCAAACAGATTAATTCTTTTGGGTTGAAAGTGTGGGTGTATAGTGTGGTGAAGAGTGTTCGCTATCAAGGTATCCTCTAGATATGAAAACCATAGTGGTTTTCTTCTCTTTGGAAGATGAAGTATTCTAGAAGAGAGGTGTGCTTATTCTAGTAAGGTCTGATTGTCAGCTATGCAGAGTTGCTCTAAGTAGAGTATCCTTTTGTATCTAATTTGTTGCTTGAAAGTGCTATAGTTTGGGTGATGAGCAATAAACTGTTCAAGTGATGTATTGCTACTACTGATTGTTTGTAGCTATATAATGTTTGAATTGAACTGGATAGTAAGGCCAAGTGAGTTGTAGAGCTATATGATCTTAAAGTTGATAGTATGCCAGTTGGGCTATCTATATAAGAATGTGGGTGCTAAAGTAAGTTAGTTGTTAACCAAAGATTGTTTTGTAGCTGTTGTAATCTGATTTACATAGTGAGTCCCAAGGTGAAGGTATTATTGAATCTGTTGCTAAAATTGCTTATATGATGTTGAAGCTGCTAGTCCCAAATACTTTGGATATTGTATATATTATAATTAAGCATAATACTGTTGGTGATAGATCTGGATAGGTGAGACTTATATTTTGCTATTGTAAAATATTTACCAAGTATTTTATTGCAAGTCAGTGAGAAATAACTATGTTTTGCATCCTGTACTCAGTTGTTGGTATGATGACAATATTGATGATATATGTAATTTGTTTGTCTGTAATGTTTTTGAAGTTAGCCATGCTAGCTAACTGCAAAGCCTCTTCTTATATTAATTTGATTTGGGCTATTTATTTATTATTGACTATAAACTAGCATCCTAAAAATTTGAATGGCTAATGTGTAGTAATTGAAGTTAGGCTAGTATTCGAGAATAATATATTGGCATCAGAATGCTTTGAAATAAAGGTAGACTTGGTAGAGTTAACTTGAATATTGATCATTTGGTAAAAGGATATAGCTGTGTTTATAATTTCTTCAAGGTCTTCTTTAGACTGTGCTATCCATAGAGTATTATCCATATATGCCAGTACTGAGATAAATGTGTGTAGTTGGTTTGAAGATGGATATGTGAGACTAGTTTGCCAAGATGTGAATAGGGTGTATTCTGACTTTCTAGTAGCAATATAAGTAATCAAGAGATTATAATAAATTCTCCAGAAAAGTAGTGTAATGGTTTCTCCCTGGTCAATTCATTTTTAACTGAGTAGCTGTTTGTTAGACCAAAATTTGTAATTACTCAGTTGTTGCAGTCAGTTAGTAGATTGGTAAAAATATTAATAAGAGGTTGGGGTATGCTGATTCTGTGTAGTGATTTTTGAAAAAGATCAAAAATAACAGAGTCATAGACTTTACTCATGTCTTGAGAAAGTATCCATAGTTGTTTGGCATTGCATAAAGCATTCTTAATAATATTGTTAAGAATGTGAATAGGTATAGTAGTAGAGTTGCCAGGTAAGGCAACATAGTTA